TTTTTTTTCCAAAGGTTTTCAAATCACCTAAAATCTCTATTTCTTATTGATACAATACAGACGAAATTCGGAATATAGACTCAAGTTGTGGGTAAGTTTTGAATCTTGTTTTCTTTCTTTCTTAACTTCTTATTGTATGTGACTTATATATGATACATCAATACCCAAAATAATACTCGATACATTACTAATATAATTATAATACGATTATATTAGATTTTTAGTGTAGAGTTGTGATTGAAACTTGAAGAAAATGAAGAGCATTATTGTATCACAATTTTTCAGAAATGTATCGCAATTGTATTATAATTGTATATGTATCATAATTATTGTAGGAATTGTATTACAAATGTATGATAATTGTGTATTCATTGTATATTGTTACGAGCAGTTGTGAGTTCGTGACGAATATTACAATTTGTATCAAAAATATATGATAATTGTATATTAATTTATTAGTATTGTATCAGGTGTTATTTTAGGTACTAATGTACCAGATACAAGTTAGATACAATTGTGATACAAATATAATACAATTATGTTTTAGGCATTGATGTATCTGATACAATTCAAATACAATTATGATACAGTTATCGTACAACTATCATACAATTCCTGAACATTTCTTTATTTTCAGTGTTGTCCAGTCTCTCAGCAAAAGAACGATAGAATTGATGATTTTTTAACAATACAAAGCTGTCAGCAATGGTGGGAAGAGAGAAGATGGAGATTCTGGACGTAGATTAAGGGATTTTGATTTTTTTTTTTTTTAAAGGAAAGAGAAGAGGAGAGGGAAAAAAGGAAAGCATGTAATTGAATTCCTTAATTGAAAGCATTCATAATGGGGTGGAAGCCTTTTAAGGAGCATTGTATAAAATTTGTAAGAAAAATTTAGATACTTATTAAAAATTACAAAACATAGAAACATTAAGTAAATAAGTTTCTAATATAATATAGCTAAAGTCATGCCCCGAACCTAGGCCTGGACGTAACACGACACTCGGTGCCTGACTACATGTGATCGAGCGAACCAACTGGCTGGCTTAATCAACATGTGATATCATAACATACTGAATGCCAAAGATAAACTAACACATGCTGATATACTAAAAGTCTGGATGATATAAATCAAAGTGCGGAAATACTAATACAATTCTGAAACATATTTGCAGCCAACATAGCTTAACATGAAAAGCCTAAGACTCTATCTAACTGTTACTCTAGTCTATGAAGCCTCTAATGAAGTACTGAAAACATTGACTATTTGAAAATACCGAAGGACTGCAAAGTAATGATAATGCCCCGATAGAACTGGGGATCACCAAACAGCTGATACGAGAGTCACTACAACAAATTTGATTATTAGTGATAAATTATTTTATCACCTAATTCATATTTCATCACAAAAAATCTTTGGTGACAAAAAAAAAAATTGTCAATCTTTCGTCCTTAAAACACTGTCACTAATAATATACAAAGACAACTTTGTATTTCGTCACTAAATAAAGTTATATTAACTACGAAATCGTTTTTTGTCCCTAAATTAATAGAATTTATGACGAACTTGTTCGTCAAAAAAAGTACAAAAAATTCGTAGTTGATAATGCATTTTCGTCACTGAAAAGGTCATTAATGCCGACAAAACTGCTTTGTCACTGTCTATTTAGTTTAGTTAGTGACGACATAAATTGTCTATGAAATTATATATATTTCGTAGTTGAACAGTTACAATATCGTCACTAAAGAATGCCTTTTATATACAAAAAGATACTTTGTCCCTAATTGTATAAATTAGTGACAACTCTACTCTTATAAATAAGGTTTACAATTACTTAGTTAAATTATCATTTCGTCACTAAAAATATTAATTTTACGGACAAAACAAATTAAAAATGTTACTACAAATCATCATGATTAGTGACAATTACAATATACAAAGAAAATTCATTGTCAAAGAAAATATTATATATTATTAATAAGAAAATTCTAGGACAAAAGTCTATTATTTGTCACATTTATGACAAACTAATATCCTTCAATAAAAATATAATTGTCTAAAAAAAATACAATGTAATCTAATCAGTATTGTATCTTTCTCCTTTCTCGTGAGTTCTTTCCACTTGTTTGGAAGCGAACAAAAATTTTAAGCAGTTATTCCCAGTTCGTTCTGTTGATGGAATTGCCTTGATTGACCTCCATTTACCAACTAGGATCTCTAATATCACTTTTTCTCCCGAAGAGTTCTTTATTTCTCAATACCCTTATTCTAACTTGTCCACAACCTTCCTTGATTCCAAGTGAATCTGCACCTATTTATAAAAAAAGTCAATTCAAAATATTATTTAACATATATACTAATATAGATATTAAAATGCAAAAAAAATATGGAGCATATATATTAGTAGTAATTTCTAAATTACAACTCAACTTTATCATTACAGCTTTAACATAAGTGAAAGTTCACCGATTCCTAGTATATCAACACAAAATTTACATCCACAAACTAATCTATGTGACAACATAAACTCTGTTCATATATACGTAATTACTAACTATCAAAATGTAAGGTTAACTATGTAGGCTTTCTCACATTAGAATCAAACCTGCCGTGAATTGAACGAGCAATTATATGTAGTTATTTTTTATATCCTCATTCATTCATTTCACTGACAAAAAAAAAAAAGATAGAAATTTCAGAAAATAAAATCAAAGCAATCCTTTAAAAGATTATAGAAACAAGGCACCCACTTGTATAACAAACAGCTGTGATTAGGCAATAACACAGATGAAGTAGCCAGAAGGTCCTTATTATCAAGAAGCTAGTAGGCAAATAGCTTGTGAAAATCCAAGTCTTCTTTACTGACTCATTTACACATTCACTATTAAAATGTTATGCTCGTTAGTGGATGTTGTTGTCTGCAATGTTAATACTAACATTATAATTCACATTTATTGTCCCAAGGATTCACTGTCATTATAGTTTCAGTAATTTACCAACTCTATTCTTTGTATCCAAACATTAAAAAAGCAAACCGCAAAGAACCTGTCAATTAAGATGCAATAAGTGTAGTTTTAGTTGGGTTTCATCGTTTTTTCCTTTTTCGTTCTAAGTCAAAATAGCTAAATTATTTCCATAAATCCAAAGGTCAAGAAGACATGAACACATCTAGCTTTCCAAATTAGGAGAAAGAAAAAGTAGAAGTACTCTGTTAATTCCTTACACCAGTTCTCAGTTTTAAAGGCACTTAAAATATTTAGCAGTCCTATTTTCATACCTCCTCTTCAACTTATAATAGCAACTATATATGGTTAGCAATTATTTGATGATTATATATATATAAATCAAATCAATCCTTCAACCATGGATACTATATCAAATTAAAAATAATACTCTATAGAATAGTAACTAGTAGTAAATTTACCTGATTGATTTGAGAGTTGGAAAAACTAGGTGGCAGTTGACCTCCAATGTTGAACAATAAAATCCATTTATTGGAGCTGATAATAACAAGAAAAACAGAATGATTAGAATATAAAAATCAAGAACAGTAGGAAGCTGATAGTAATACCTACTATATATTTCAGTTGAGCACCAAAATGGAGCCGATAATGGTTTTCTTGTCCCTACTTCCAAGCATCTTACACACAATGACTATACTTTTTCTTCATTACAAATGTAACTACAGTCGATCGTAGATTATTATTGCATATAAATCACATAACTAGAGTATAAGTCCACAAACATTAAAGTGAAACAAAAATTGTGAGGGGCTCTTGGACTTGTTATATTTTGTTCACCTTCACTTTCTAAGAGACTAAATTGGAAGCAACTATTTCAATGACTGTAACTAATGATGCAAAATACAATAAAATTTAGCGAAAAAGAGGACTTAAAACATTAATAAGAATTAGTCACTTCCAAATCAATCTTTTGCATTTATACCCTATTTTATGCATTATGCAATTAAAAACAGAAAAATGGAAGAATAAAAATAGCATTTTTCAAGAAAACAGAGATACAATCCGAAAAGATTCATCTAAAAGCACTTGATGATTAAGAGATAATCCAATGGTGGTGGTGAGCTTGTAGAGCAAAAGTGTGATAACAACTGCTGCTAAACCTCCTCCGAACAGTGCTGGAGGATTTCAAAGATGAGATTTTCTCAAAATATTATCTTTTCCTTCTAAAGATAATCCTGATATGAATTGGTGATTGGTGTTAACTTTCAATTGTAATCTATAGCTAGACTACTAAGCTTATAGAGAAAGCTGTCAAAGGAAGACCGATGGCAATTCAACTCTGGCTTATAGGATACCTGATTCCATATTTACTAGATAAGTTATCGNGTCTTTTTCTTCTAAAAATAATCCTGATATGAATTGGTGATTGGTGTTAACTTTCAATTGTAATCTATAGCTGGACTACTAAGCTTATAGAGGGGGCTATCAAAGGAAAATCGATGGCAATTCAACTCTGGCTTATAGGATACCTGATTCTAAGCTTACTAGAAAAGTTACCGCAGGTATAACTATTATAGTTCTAACTTTTCTAATATGGATGACTAGTACCTAGTAATTGGCAAAGTATAAAATAAAACTATGAACATGTTCTGCAATTATAATAAGTTACACAAGATAATTTTGTTTTCCTCATATTTTTAATCTGAATATGCATTGCAAGTTCCAACATAAACTACCAAAATACACTAAATAAAGTTAGAAAATGTTGAAAGTAAACTTTATTTTGAAAAACTGAAAGGTTATACTTCAAATATATTCAACTACCCAATACCCATCTTGACAAATCATATGCTTAACAAGAAAATACCAAAAAGAAATTCAGGAAGAGCTAAAGAAAGAATAAAGATTTCTTGAACTTACCCACTAACCATATCAATACGATAGAAGAATTCTGGAAAGTGGAAACTAGCAAAGCAAATCATTTGTCCTATTCACAAAAGAGCATAACAGAGAAATTCTTAAAATTAGCATAAACTCTTGATTCGTGTTTACCCTATTCCTCATTTTCTCAAAAGCAAGATGGTTATCACAAATTAAAATTACTTACTTACTGAATAGAAAGACAATGATTTGGAGCAATAAGAGAAACCCTAACACAAACCTTGGAGTAGAAAGTAGGCGTAGCTGCTTTATACATATCTTCGATGGACTTTGGATGATTAAAATCTGCTCAAAAACACAAAAAGAAGAACAAAACCCCCTAAATAAATAAGACTGTAAAGAATTTGAGTGATTGTTTGAATTCCTAAAATCGTTCTTCAATGTAAATACAGTAACAAAAGAGGAGATAAATTAACCTTCAGATGTAATCTAAATTTTGAGGTGGGAACATGCTTAACGAAGAGAGATACCAAACAAAGATTTCAATTGTAACTGTCTAATTGAAAAGAGAAAACCTAGAGCCAAAGTGAAAAATAAATGAGGAAATTTTTGCTTTTTGCCGCGTTTGCTTTTTGGCGGAAGTTGAAAAGAAACAAAAAAATTTACGCCAAAAATTAGGTACTAATTTTTTTCTTCAATATATAAGTTTATGAGTTCCTACAACTACCTTAAGTAAATTTATGATTATAATTAATTTTACCATCAAATATTTATAAATTTTTAGTAAATTATCTAATATATATAGTCACGGTAGCCCCTGAATATTCGTAATTAGTTGTAGAGAAAATCAAGTGTTTCACCAACAATACCAGACATTTTGGCAACTATAAAAATGTATTGTTGCCAATTTATTATATTTAAAATTTTATTAAATAACCAACAAAATATGTCATCCAAATTTTTTAATTATAGTCAAACCTCTCTATAATAATATTATTTGTCTACATATCCTTCAACGAAATGATTATTATACACTTAGTAATATTATTTTACTTTTAGATCTTGTTTGACTGCTAATACAAAATTATAAAAATAGTTATTTTCCAAACTTTTTATGTAATAAAAGAAAATAAAATATTTAAATTTAAAATCTCAAAAGATATTAATATTTTATCAATTAAATTTTAAAAAAAGCTAATGTATTATTAAAATTCATAATAACTAGTTTTATTGTACCTACAAACAATTAAACTCTCTAATACACATATATATTGGAAAACTAATTGGATACAAAAAATTTCAAATTTAATTAAAGAAATTTATAAATTGTGCTTTTACTCTCAATCCTCACCATGCAATCAATAATAGAAATGTGCACGGCATCACCCTTCATGCTTTATCACTCTTCCTTACCATATGAATATCATAAATATGTATGACATCACCCTTCGTGCTTTATCTCTCTTCCTCACCGACCCTTCGTGCTTTATCACTCTTTCCTCACCATATGCATAAGTATGAATGTGCACGGTATCAACCTTCGTGCTTTATCACTCTTTCCTCACCCAAACAGTAGAAACAATAACATCCTGGCAAGGACTCAACAATAGAGACAATAACATCCCGGCAAGGGAATCAACTATAACCAATCTCATTTCAACAGTTAACTTCACAAAAATAAATCTCAACTTGAGCCAATACTCAACAATGGTCAATTACCAAGAAATTATCATAAGTCTTGTTCAATGTGGATAATCATCAATTTAAGCATGAACAATACATAATAAGAATCACAACAGTCACAGTATAAGATTCACGGGCAATCTCGACACCAACGTATAGATACTCGTCACCACACCTATACGGCGTACTCAACACTAACACGTAGCAAACAAGACAAAAACACATATTCCCTCAAGCTAAGGTTATGCCAAACACTTACCTTAATTCCACAGCCAAAATCAAGCCGCAAATATCGCTTTCCCTCTAGATTTCACTTTCAATTCACTTGTATCTAGTCATAATTAGCTTAATAACATCAATAAATGCCAAAGAACTCAAATCCAATGCTTAATTATAGGTTTCCCAATATTTTTCCTAAAAAATCAAAAATTAACCCCGGGCCCACTTGGTCAAAAATCGAAATTCGGACCAAAACTCGATTACCCATTCACCCCCGACCCCGGATATGCAATTGATTTTGGAATCCAACCTCAATTTGAGGCCTAAATCCCAAAATTTCGAAATTCCCAAATTTCACCCAAAAACATCCAATTTCCCATGAAAATTCCTAGAGTTTGTGATGAAATCTTGTAAAATGATGAAGTAGATTAAAAGAAATGAGTTAGAAATTGTTTACCTATGATTTAGGAAAAAACTTTTCTTTGGAAAATCGCCTATGGGAGCTTAGGGTTTGAAAATTTGAAAGAATGAGTTGAAATCCCCGTCTAAAACTCTTTTTGAATAGTCGTAGTTATCGCATTTGCGATATTGTGAACCCCGCAAATGCGAACATTACATCGCAATTGCGAAGAATGCTCAGGCCTGCTATTATCACAAATGCGAACATTTACTCGCAATTGCGACCTGTTGTTATCGCAAATGCGATGATGAACTTCGCAATTGCGAAGGTCTCATGCTCAGCCTTTTTATCGCAAATGTGAAGGGTCTTCGCAAATGCGAGCATCGCATTTGCGAGCCAGACTTCGCAATTGTAGACCTGAAACACACCAGCAGTTTTTCTTAAGTTCAAAATACTCCATGGCCTATCCAAAACTCACCTGAGCCCTCGGGGCTCCAAACCAAATATGCACACAAGTCTAAAAACATAATATGAACTTGCTCATGCGATAAAATCGCCAAAATAACATCTTAAACAACGAATTTAGCATCAAAATCATTGAAATTCTCAAGAACACCTAAAGTTATTATTTTCACAATTGAGGGTCCGAAACACGAAATATGAATTTCGTTTCTTACCAAATTTTACAGATACAACTTAAATACCATATTAAACCTGTACCGGGCTCCGAAACCAAATTACGGGCCCTATACCATCAAATTCAAACATTATTCAATTTCTAAACTCCTTATATTTTTTCAGTTAAATAATTTTCTTCAAAAATTTATTTCTCGGGCTAGGAACCTCAGAATTCAGTTCCGGGCATACGCTCAAGTCTCATATTTTCCTACGGACCCTATGGGAGCGTTCAATCATGGGTCAGCGTCCGTTTACCCAAAAATATTGACCGAAGTCAACTTAATTCAATTTTAAAAGCAAACTTTAGCGTTTTTCTCAAATTTTCACATAAAGGCTTTCCGAAAATACGCCCGGACTGTGCACACAAATTGAGGTGAGGAAAAGGAGGTTTTTATGGCCTCGGAACACAGATTTAATTTCTAAAACAAGAGATGACCTTTTGGGTCATCACATCTACGAACTTAACAATTGAATCTTTTATCTCAACCAAATAGCAGTTATTTTGAAAAATTTACTAAAATTAACTAGAACTAGCATTGTACAGTAAAATACAAAATTAATTAATATTTGAGTAGAGCTGCTAGCAAGAAATAATTTTATAAAAAATATATTGGTATAATGATGATCGCTATTGTTATTTGTAAAATGTGATTATAGAGGGTTAATATATAACATGATAAATTGATTAAAAAAAGTTAGCAGCTATAGTGAAATGTTGTTATAGAGTATGCGCTTATGATAGAGATGTTTGACTGTATATAGTTATATGCCAAACTGTTTGCAATGTCGCCAGTTTACAGTCAATTTTGAGCCTTTTCCGTTCCAAAAAATAAGAATAAAAATCATATGTTGGACAACTTCCGTCATTACTGAATAAGCGTATATTTAAACCATTTATGTAACAACATGGAGTATATTTGACCTCAGCTATTACACATAATATATTTGGGCCTTTCTCAAAGTTCAGTGGCATATTTGAATATATTTTTTTTTTACTTTTATAAATTTAGAAATTCTAGTTATGGTTAATTAGGCACATAATTTTGCGACAATAAATTTTATATTTCTGTGAAATAATGCAATCATTCCCCCCAAAATGTTTAGATAAATAATACCCACAATTATCACCACGAATAAGTACAAGATTTTTCATGGCAAATAAACGCACAATTTAACTATAAATTCTAATTATCATCTATACTATATTAAAAGTACGAAGGCCCTTAGCGAAATATTGTTCGCTTTTTTTACCCTTATAAAATAGAGTTCGCATTAGACAAAATAGTAATTCAATTAATTTCCTAATACTTAGGAATATTCATTTATTATTTTTCTAATACTTAGAAATAATTATTTAATTATTTTTCTAATATTTAGGAATAGTCATTAAATTAATTTCCTAATATTTCTAATTATACAAAGTTTTGCCACTTTGTATTCCTTTTAGGTTTAGACTATATTAATTAGTTGATATTCTTTTCTACGCTAAATATAAACATTATTATTCTATTGGGTATTTGAAAATCAAGTGTATTAATTTATAAAGTAAATGTAGTTGATAGTCTAAGAAGAGTAACCTTTGCCAACGATTAATGTATTGTACTAAATTATTAAAACAAAATGTATTGTTAATGTTTGTTCTAAATCCTTCTAAAATATACATACACATACATGTGCAACATATATTAGAGTTCTAAATCTTTGATTATGGACACTACTCACTAGGTAAAATAGTTATTTATTATTTTTTTAATATTTACAAATAGTAATTTAATTATTTTTCTAAAAATTAAGATTCTAAATTTGTTTTATTTGAAAAATGTATGAATACCTAATTATAAAAATTTAAAATTAAGTATGATTTTACTTTTTTAAATCCTAATAAACATTGAAAAATTTCTCGAGGTCGGCGGCTTATTATGTCTTCTCGAGGTTTTCCATCAATAGTATGGTGTAGATCAGTATTGAAAAATTATTAGTTTCTTTTTTTCTTTTTGTGCTTTCTTACAAAAAATATGTGAAATTTGGCTCCAAATACTAGATCGATCAATTTAAAGCAAGGTATTGGGTATACAAAATATTTTTTTGACTATTCTTCTCTCTTTCTTCATCTTTTTATTTTCATATGGACAAATATTAGCAATTTTAATTCTTTTCAGTTATTCAAAACTACTTTATCAACAAATATAGATATTAAGCAGAGTACAAAATATCAAATAACATATTCGTCTAATAAAGAAATAATATAATTATAACATCAACATGCGTAATATGTCCTAGAATTTAACATAACATCATTACAAAAAGCAAAGAAAACGTATTTATCACAGGATGATGAGAATTTTGGCTTTTGAAAAAGTTAATTAGTGTGGGCTGAAAGAATTATCTTTGGAAAGCGTATTTTTTCTAATTTTTATTTATCACAAATATCTTTTCAATATACCATTTATATTATTTTAAATTTTTTATTTTTATTAATATAGGTACATGCACAACGCGCGTATCCTAAGACTAGTTATATAAAAACCAATATGTGGTTACTGACCTTTTTTCTTCTTTTCTGAATGTAATTTTAACAACTTGAGACAATTATTTTAATTTTCATCACAAATCGTACACAAGGTCAACGATAAAATAATGTGTCATCAGGAATTTCATTTTTGT